TGTATAACCTGGTGGTCAAGTAAAAACCCAAATGAGTGAAAGGCACATGAATTGTTAAAAGTTAATGAATCATATTAGAAAAAATCAAGAGGTTCTAATTTCACACCAAGTTCATAGGTATGTCATAGTCAATAAGATGTATAATGAAGGAAGCATTTAACCCAATAACACAAAGTAGAAGTAAAAAATGGGTTATGATTTAGTTTGATTGATATTGTTAATGTAGTAAACTTTTAACTATACAAATACCATTGCTCTCGTATTATTGTTGCATGCGTTGTTGTTAACATTTACTTTTATCAAATTGTTAACCCTATTTATACATTGAATAATATTGTTAATGCATAGTCAACACCATGGTAGTCCATTGACAGTGAGTCTCCCAAAAATAGTAGTATGGAAACTTTTTCCAAACAAAAATAATGTGAAAAAAGGTCAACCAAAGTCAATTCAAATAAGGAATGAAATGGACTACATTGACTTACAAACATGTCACATTTGTAGAGAAGTGGGTCATAATCAATACCATTGTCCTTGTCAACTTCAAGACCAATCTTAACATGTTTAAAATTGTGGTTGAATTTGTTAATTTTACAATCGGTAAATATGTATTTATAAGTGTGAAAGTAATAATTTTAGATTTAATGTAACTTTCTTTCATCCTTAATTTTAAATTGTAACATTTAAACATACACGATAGGGTCATATTAATGAAATAAAACATCAGTCAATGTCATGGAAATAAAAGTGCAGACATATCAAACAAAAGTACAACAATAAATAACAAATACTATATTAACATCACAACTTTTCTCCAAGTATCCATTTCATTTAAGCATAGTGGAAGTAAAGAAGAAATCAAATTTGGGCTATGCGACTACCATATAATTTGTGGACAAATTCAAATAATTATTACATTATCAAACACATACCTGCCACTGTTTAGCTGTTTTGGATGTAAATCTCAAGATTTGTGGGTGTGATGCGTGAAAATCTATCACATACCCATAGTTGAATTAAAATATATGTCAAAACTTATTATTACAAAAACATACCTACCACCATATGATTGTATTGGGTGTAAGATTCAAAGATTTGTTGGTGTAATGCGTGGAAATCTATCATATGCCTATAGTTGAATTAATTGTGTTAAACTGCATATTTCTTTATTCTCATAATTTGTAGGCACACACAATTGTTGATATAGATTTGCAAGTACAGCTACACCAATTATATTCATCATATTAATCTAGATCACGTAATAAATGAAGATAGCTCAATAGTATCTTACTATTTGATTGATATGAAAAAATAACACATTCAATATAACCTTAGAATCTATACACATGTATATCTTTCTAACTGTAGTTCATTATTAAGACACTTGTTTATATTAGTAAAATGACTTAACAATTAAATCTTCATCAATAATCTACTGTGCAATTCTTCTTTAGGAAATGATATTTTCAATAACTCTTCAACAAGTGCTAATTATATTTTACATGATGTATTTCTTATAACTAATTGATCATCAATACATAGACCATTTTGAATAGAAATATCTTGCACTATAATAATACATTATTCTAGAGGTAGATGAAAAGTATGTATGTCAAATCTCCACATCTTTATTAATGCTCAAAGTAAGTACAATTTCAGCTTGAAAAACGACAATTGTGCAATGCCTAAAACATATGCTCGCTTTAAATATAGAATAATTTGGTACAATATATGGTTATGATGTAGATAAAACCATTCATGTTATCATAATATTAAAAAAAATATAATTTTAAATTACATAATTAAATAACACAAATCAAATGTATTAAAAAATATCTATTATCATAATTAAAAATTATTACAATTACTTAAATTGCTACTCTATAATTTAATATTTAAACATGATATAACATGTCACATTTCTAAATATATGTACTAAATTAATTTATATTACAACATTAACATTATTTTACTAATTATTATACTAAATATAATATACTTAATTATATCATATATTTTTTACAAATATTATTATGTTACTAAACATAATATACTTATTAAGTTTTATAATTTTTTTATGATAATATTATAATTACAAAACACATCAATCACTTAAATATCATTATATTCTAAAGCATCATATTGTTTATAATATAAAATACTAAATTCTTAAATACAATCAATTACTACTAAATCTAATATAGTATTATCCCATTATTATACTAAGCAAAGATATTAACATTATTTTACTAATTATTATACTAAATATAATATACTCAATTATTTTTCAATATTGTAATCACAAACTATACCAACGTTGATATCATTTTACTAATTATTATACTTAATATAATATATTAACTTGTTTTTTATTATTTATTTTTATACTAAATTTAATATAGTTATTAAGTTAATTAAAAAATTATATATTATAATATCAAAAATATTTCTATCCGTTTCATAATTTTTATTAATTTAACTAAATTTTATAAATACTTTGTTTGAATAATATTAATTTTTTAATTAAAATAATATGTCAACTAACTTTTTACAACTAATATAGAATTTAATTAACACATTATTTTTTTTTTCAAGAATTATTATGTTACTAAGTATAATATACTTTAAAAATTATTAAAATTTTATTATATTATGACATCGCAAATATTACTACACATTTTTTAATTTTCGTTGACTTAACTAAAGTTTATAAACAATTGTTTTAAACAATAATATTTTTTAATTTAAATTTATATGCCAATTAACATTTTATAATTAATAAAAAATTGAATTAACAAATTATATTATTAATAATGTTCTTGGCACAACAAGATTGATCAGCAAAAACGCCACTTCGATCTCTTCTTGGCACAACAAGATTCCCTCCCGTAAATAAATAAATAAATAAATTCCTTTTCACATAGTAGCGTCGCCCTTAGTAAAGTAAAAAAAAATTAGTCCTTATTCTCAAATTGAGTAAAAAAAATCGATATTTAAGCTTATTTTCATCTCCAAATGGCAACATGTGTTAGTACCAGCACAGGAGGGACTATGCATATGCAGAACAACAAATCTCACACGGCCACGTGTCCTTATTTAGTTTTTACAACCCTATTCTCATATATTCTTTACCAACTCTCCTAATCTACAAATTTATTTTAATTATATATATATATATATATATATATATATATATATATATATATATCAGATGAATTATTGGATCATCTTTTAAATCAATCAAAACTAAGTGCCTCTTTCGGCAATTTTAAAGGGGCACGCCACGTGAAATCCTTAAGGCATGGAACACATTACTCAAACCACTGTTTTGGGACCTCAAAGTGAATATTTATAATAATTTATTAAAATGTTATTTATGAAAATCACAACACAACATATGATGTACAAAAATTTATAAGAATATTAAAATCAATTCGTTTAATTTTTCACTCACTTCTGAGCTCTTACTTTAGGGATAACTTTAGATCGACATATAAGAGAATAAAATAAGATAAAATTATATTATCTTTCATCACTTAAATCATTCTAATAAGAATGGAATATAAAAGTTTAATAGAATACATTTCATTTTACTCAATATCCTTCTCTTTTTCCCTCCAAAATTATGAGCTAAAATTTATTTTTTTCCCTTTAAATTTAAACAATATAATAATGATTCTCTTTTATATTATATTTTACCATAATTTTAACAGATAACTAATCATTTTAGTAAGACATTATAAAATTTAAATTTCAAAAAGGTATTTATACTCGTGATGAATATCATAGTTTGCATAATATTATAATTTGTTCAAATGCTTACGAGATTACGACCGGATATTTTCTTTGTTTGTCTATTTAATTGATGTTAGTTTACAATGCTTATCCCAAAGATTCGGACACATAGGAAATTGTTCATTTCACATTGTTCAGTCAAATAGCTAGCTTATTTATTTATTTATTTTTGAAAAAATAAAGCTCAAGAAAAGTTTTTTGTTGACTTCTGTCCTTTTGGCCCTTGGAAATCACAACTTCAGCTGACTTGAAATTTGTTATTTAGGAAAACTATGATCTCCCTCTTCCAAACTTAGAAGAGAATCTCATTTATCGAATCACTTGAAAAAAAAAATCTTATCAACACACTCTTTTAAATTTATATTATTTTTATAATTAATTAATTATAAAAGATTAAAATACTTACTTCAACTTCATAAATTAATAACATTTTAGAACTTAAATGACCTTAAAAAAAAATTCAAATTTTGTTATTTTTTTATTCTCACAGACAATTTTTTAGAATAACTAAAAGAATATAATAATTAGAAGTGTGTTTCTTCCCCTAAATGTTAAAATATTGTGATTTGCTTTTTCAGCTCCACCGTTTACCTTAATTAGCTGTGCGACTTTTCATAGTGGATTTAATTTTTCGATTTCTCATCTCTCACCGCCAATTAGCGGTGAAGCAAAGGCATGCACTCTTTCTTGCACCTTTTAATCTCTTTGACCCCTTTTCATCATGTTTTTTCTCCATGCAACTCGCAAAATTCATACCAATTTCAAAACCCAAAGGGCTCTCTTCTATAGTTCCTCAAAGAGTCAAATCAACTACTTAATAACATTAATTTGATCTTTTATTGAACGTTGCTTGCATAACACTATATCAGTTATCTTGGAAAAGAATAACAAAGTAACAGCTTCCGATATAACACTTGAAAATGTTGATTCAAATAAAGCGATTTTCTTAACTTCAAAACTAACAGTTCAAATTGAAAAAATAAATATTTATGACATTAATGTGATGAATAAAACTTTTTAAAAGATAAGGTTAACATTTTTTTTAATGAAAATAACACTTTTACTCTCCTGATTCTATCATCAAAACAAGTTTGGCCAAATAATATATAAGTGCTTAACTTGCTCTAGCGAATTGGAATTTCTGTTAATATTTGCTTGAGCTATGAAGTTTACAAATTCTGCCAAGCAAAAGAGCTTCAACCCCACATATCTAAATTGAAATAGCTCAGCAACCTCGCTACAGACAAACACATTCATCCAATACAAAACATAGGATGAAGGAATATTCTAACAGCAAGAATAAACAATATGCAAATCCCATACCAAGTTTTGAAGCATTCTCTTAGGTCTTATAATCTGTACAAATTTATGCATTCTTCAAGCTCTTCCTGGTGTCTTTGGATCATGCCGGTTGTTTGCACCTGTCCCTGGATAATCATTACTTTCCAAAAAAAATCTTCCCTCTACCCTGAACCCTTCTACCATATCAAACATTTCTTCATCATTTCTAAATTCCTTAGAAGTAGAACCCTGCAACTATGGACACAGAAGTGTGTTCAGTTATACCCCTTTATTTTATGCTGAGAGGACTTGAATTAAAACCAAAATAAGGGGCTTTATGCTGATAGAGGAACTCTAGAATTTAAGATTATATTGGAGGACTAAGATTAAATTATGTTCACACGGGTCCACGGTATTACCTCAACTGATGTAGTTTGGGTTGAAAATTTTTCGCTGTTGGGCAAAAGCCTTCCTGCAGACAGTGAAACTTCAATATACCATTACAAGTAATTATGAAAAAATAAACCAAAAAGAAGGAGAAATGGAATATTTTCACATTAATTATAAAAAAGGTCTAATTTCATACTTACTAGTATTTTGGACAGTGGCAGAAGAGAGAACAAATGATAAAATCAGAAGGATGTTGAGAAGTTGCAGGAGAGATTTGGACATCATGTTGAAGAAAAGGGAGATAGATCTAAAAGCTGACAAAGAAGAAAGCTGAGGAAGGTGGTTTATGGAGAACACATGTGAAGATGCTATTTATATAGAAATTCCTGAAGACACACTAATTGATTTGAATATTACAGGACAACCCAAGTACTATTGCTCCAAGTCAACTCAACTTTTACATACTTTTATCATTCCTTAAGACAAAACATTTAATAAAGAAGGTGTGGACGTGTTTCCACTTGCCTCACCTTATAGCACAATGTGCCTTCTCCACATGATTGATCTAAGAGCTATTTTATAAGTATTTAAAATTATCATAATAATGTTATGCCTGTATTTTATTTTATTTTTAACACTTTAATTTACATAATTTTATAGAAATTTATTTTTTTTAAAAATGAAAATATAAAGCACAAGTAAAAAATTACAGGTCTTATATATTTCTGATAATAATACTGTTAACAGTTTTGGATACATGCAAAATTGCTGCCAATTAAACTCCTCCTTACTTTGCCACATGGATCAGAAACCACTAGAAGAGTTCACGGGTGTTCTTAGGTGTCACATAAAGGATATTTTGATTTTAGGACCAATTTGTATATATAGATGATATACTTCAATGCTCAATTTGTAAACTTTCAGGTAGTTACAGCCTGTTATGCTAGGGACAATAGCCTAATATTCCAAATCCTGTGCTTTGGCCTTTGGTAACAATATAGCGTTTGTATATCCTATCACACGATCTCTTATATAATTAATTATTCAAATGAGTTCATTTATAAAAATACTGATTATGTATCTATCTATCTATCTCTATATAGTGTGTTAATTCCTACAAGTTTTTATAAATTAATGTTAGTACTTTTATACTTTAATTTAGATGAAAGTCGCGATGACTTTTAATATTAAATAACTTAATATAAAGTACCTTTATAACTTAAAATTAATAAAATAAGAATAGTGGATGCTAATTTCAATAAACAAATTTGAATTAAATGTTTAAGGAAAGAGAAGAGTTGATTTTATTATCATAAAAACAAACTAAAAGAAAAATTTTTCATAGGATAATGAAGAATGAATAAGCTGTGTTTCCAAAGACTAAGGGTGCTGATGATGGATTTAAGGCAATCAATTAGCTAGATTCTGACCTTGTGTTGACTGATGTAAAACAGCACTAAATTTGTTGTGGTGTATGATCATGACGAGCTCAATAACTCAATCATCACAATTTTGTTTAATGACTTGGCACAAATCATATAGGCATGGGAACAATAACATGATTGTGTAGCTTATTTCAATTATTTGTTTTCTAGCGCTAATCCTAGTGAGAGTTTTACTGCTACTTTTATCAAGTCTTGTCATACGACTTGGGTTGGATCAAACACCACCACAATTTCATGAAGGTTATTTGGTATGTTTGTGAAATGTGGTTAATTATTGATCATTGATTCCATGCTTTGAAAGGTAATGAATGGACAAAAAATGAAATATTGAGAAGCTAATAATTGATGTTCGACCAAACAAGTAACGAGTCACAGATGGGGGCAGTGGTGGCACAAAAGTTCGACCTTGGGCGGTGGATTTATATGGTAGAGATATGACATATAAATTTGTCCCATTTGTTCATGTGTGTGAGCATGACATGCACTCATGTCCCGTCAGATTTTGGTATTTGAATCGCTTAGAAATAATACTATTATATCTAATATTAGATATACTAGTATATATATTGTTATTTTTACTTTTTATTTTTTTAATATACACACATTTTAAATACAAAAAATACCTAAAAATAAGTGTATATATACAAAACATTTCCCATGTCATCCTTTTGGGTTACCAAGTATTTTAGCTATCCATTATTTATGTTTAAAAAATAAAACTATTAAATAATATATTTTCTTTAAAAGTGTTACAAATAATTTAGTAAAGAATCAAGAACAAAATGAGTGTATAAATAAAAATAAAAAAGTATTTAAAAGAGGCCGTATATTTCACAATAACTGCTTTCGTTGAGGGAGTTTATATAATCTTTATTTTTTTTAAATCATTGCGACTTATCTTGAGTAATTGTTTTTTCATTTAATAATTTATATTATTGATCTTCTTTATTTCAAATGTCTTTCATGTCTCCTTTTGTTGACTTCTAATGTGGGCGTGACATGATATGTGCATGCATTCAAGTGTTAAATAGTAAGGTTTATATGTTGATTATTTGCATAATTTTTTTGAGGAGAAACGAAGAAACCTAGATCTTAATTGTTGTTTTATATCTCTTGGTTTTCATTTTTATTTGACATGAAGTATAACATGTCAACGAAGACTCTCATTTCTCATATTAACGAAAGAAAGTAAACATTTTTCACTTACACATCTTGCGATTCTTTTATTAAAATACCTGATATATACAACAAGATGCATGAATTTCATCAAGCATCACTTATTTAACATGAGGAAATGTTGTATGTTTTTATTGATGTTTAAAGATTATTGCTGTTATGCTTCTTGATGCGCTAAAGAGTGAAAGCATTAGATTCATTATATTCAATATCTTGATAATATGCTTATATTTCATTTTAGAACGATATGGTAAGTCAAATAGGAAGAGTTTCGTTAATTTGAAAATAGCAAGTCCTTTAAGTTTCGATAATCCTTCTTTTTTTTTGGTATCGTGATCTTTATTTAGAGAAACAAAGTAAGGAGGCAAAAGTGTATGTTTTTCTTCTTTTTGCACTTCCCGTTTTTAAAATTTATCATATTTTTATGATAATTTTACTATTTATGTATGTGGAATTTGAATAGATGATTATTTTTTTATACCAAGAGGATATGGGATTAGTTTTTTATTAATTAATTGATTGACTAAAAAACATGTATAATTAATATTGAAGGAGATTCAGTTTTAGGTTTCTATATCTATTTATAGTTAGGAATTTTTTTTTAATTAATTGATTGACTCGAAGATTTGTAATTGTTATTTAAGGATAATTTAATTTAAAATTTTATATCTATTTTTTTTGTTAGGAAGATGATGAAAAATCTTCTTTCAGCAGTTAGAATATTGATTGATGTTAAAAATTTTGTAAAACTTTGTAAAACACAACTAGCTAGAGAGAAAAAGCAGCCACAATAACATATTTACCAACTAAAACAACAATTAGAAAGAATATAAGTGACAACTATGAAATTATTGCAAAATAAAAAAAAAACCAAAATAGCAACTAATGAACAAAATAACCCTAAATAATTTCCATTCTTAATTTTTTCACCTTCCTAAACAACTTTGTTGATGTCAATTTGGTGGCAGAAAATTTAAAAAAAATATATGTTTTTTCATTTGGTATGTTTATATAAGCATGCATTCATATATATGACCAAACAATTTTTTAAAATAATTTGTCATCATCAAAAGAATTTTTTTTATATATAAATAGGTTTACCCCAATGATTTAATGTGTTAAGTTTTGATTATTATAAATATAAGACAAAAAGGATAAGAAACATGCTACTAACATGTACTTAATGAAACATACTGTATCATGCATGGTTATGTACTTTGCTTTGGTACACATCTGTTTTTAGAATAATGTAAAATGAAATATATAAGTAGGCACCATTTATAGAATATATCCAATAATATTGGGTATGTATTGCTATGGGGTAATATCGAATATGGTTCTAAAAAGTGTTAAAATAAAAAATTGATTGATTTAATTAAAATATGTTGTAAATTTTTAAACAAAAATCCCAAAAATCAAGCCATCATTATTATGTATACCATTATTTTAAAATAACATGAATAATTCATATGAGAAAGCAGTTAGCAAACATGCATCAGATACAGTAACAAAAAATGATCTAGATATTTCCTACTTTAATATGATGAAACTTACAATCCAACTATTATATGGAAAAAGACATATCATGCAACCAATTAATATTCAGCTTCATGCATTCCAATCCTAGCAATTTCATACTACTTTAATGTGGTTTGCCTTTAACTTTAATCCTACCACTATCGAGGCCAAATGTTACCTCCCAACAATCCTCCCAACAATCTTTTATTTAGTTTAGTTACCATCAAAATTATATTTGAATATGTCACGGTTGGTACTTTTAGTTTGCACAATCCGAACCACGCCTATCACCATACCAATACAAAATAATATGGATATAACTCACAAGATAGTTACTTAACTACATAGAATAATACCAAAATCCATTTCAAATATCCCCTTTTTGGCAAACATAGAATAATATTTGTACTCTGTTAACTTAAAGTCATCATCATAATGGTATCTCAAAGACTTATTTTCAGCACAGAGCCATAATGTATATTTTCACTTAGGTCTTTATTAACAATCATAAATATCACACAATGATTTTAATAAAATGATAGCACAAGTTCTACTAAATTAAAAATAATTACAAATAATATGGACTCAAAATGTCCACTAAATTGCACCTTTAAGAAGTTTCGTGGCTAGCTACTCAGGGCTATACTTATGAAGAAACTAATTAAATATACCAAGACATGATTCTAATAAGTATGTAACAGGGTGAATAAATGACATCAAAAGACCTAAGACTTTACAAATATTTTATTTGCCCAACCAAACACTATCCTATCATACACAAATGAATATTTTGAATATAAATTCAAAAAATAATTGATCTCAATCTCCGTATAATTAAAATTCCAAAGAAATAAATGTCCAAAAAATACCACTGTTTGGGATAATCAATGTGAGCAATTTTGAAGATGAACAGTGAACACTCGCAACATCAGAGCTGTCTACGTTTTAAAAACGAAAGGAATTAAAAGAAGAAAACATCTACAACTAATCACAATTCACATAGCCAATCAAATATAAAAATAAAATTCTAAAACCCTTCAAAAGGCGAGCAAGGGTTAATGACTATCATTTACCACAAAGTCTAACCAAAATCATGACAAAGTATCTACAATCATGGATAAGGTTTGATACAAAGGAAAGATAATTTAGAACCCCGTGCCTATTGAAACCCATGGATTATGAATCAATTAA